CACCTTTTCAACGGGTGACTGTAACACCTGGGATAGAGTCGACTGTTCAACTAAAAAGGAAAAAAAAAGGCTCTGAGGCAGGGAGCCAGGTAATCAGGCTTGGCTGGTCCCACCCCACAAAAGAACAGCAATCAGAAACTCTCTGGATTGAGAGTTTCACAGCAAGCGCAGCTGAACCCAGGACGATCCAGCTCTGTGGGGAAGGGGTGTCTGTGATTACCGAGGTACTCCACCACTATGGAGGTAGTCCGCCATTGCTAAGGCAGCCTGCCATTGCCAAGGCAACCCGCCATTGCTGAGGCTGACTGCCATTGCCAAGGCAACCCGCCATTGCCAAGGCAACCTGCCATTACAGAGAGAGTCCGACAATACAGAGGTGGGCCACCATTACCGAGGCAGTTCTAACTACACCCATATAAACAGGACTGCAGGGAAGTTCACACCGCAGCTGGGTGGAGCCCACAGCAGCTCAGCAAAGCCTCTGCAGGCAGACAGTGAATAGGCTGCCTCCTTGCTGGGCAGGGCAGCCCTGAAAAAAAAAAAGGCAGCAGCACAATAGAAACTCATAAAGCCCTAACTCCCTGGGACAGAGCACCTGGGAACAAAAAGCGGTTTATGAGTTCTGCTGCAGCAGACCTAAACATACCTGCCCAGCAGCTCTGAATGAATAACTGACCTAACAGCTCAGCACTTGAGCTCCTATAAAGGACAGACTGTCTCCTCAAGCAGCTCCCTGACCCCTGTATATCCAAAGAGTCACCTCATAAAGGAGAGCTCAGGCTGACATTTGGCAGGTAAGCTTCTGGGACAAAGATAGCAGAAGAAGAAACTGGTAGCAACCCTTACTGTTCTGCAGCTGCTGCAGGTGATCCCCAGGAAAGCAGAGCCTGGAGTAGACCTCAGTAGTCCTACAGCAGAGGAGCCAGACTGTTAGAAGGAAAACTAAAAAAGAGAAATAACTTCATCATCAACAAACAGAACATCCACTCAGAGACCCAATCTGAAAGTCAGCAACTACAAAGACGACAGGTAGATAAATCCAAGATGGGAAGAAACCAGTTCAAAAAGGATGAAAACACCCAAAACCAGAACACCTCTCCTCCTACGAGGGATCACAACTCCTCACCAGCAAGGGAACAAGGTTGGATGGAGAATGAGTGTGATGAAATGACAGAATCAGACTTCAGAAGGTGGGTAGTAAGAAACTTCTCTGAGCTAAAAGAACATGTTCTAACCCAATGCAAAGAAACTAAGAACATTGAAAAAATATTTGATGAAACGCTAACGAGAATGGACAACTTAGAAAGGAATATAAGTGAATTGATGGAGCTGAAAAACACAACACGAGAACTTCGTGAAGCATGCACAAGTTTCAATAGCCGAACTGGCCAAGCAGAACAAAGGATATCAGAGGTAGAAGAAAAAAATCTGGAGACAACAGATGCTGGAGAGGATGTGGAGAAACAGGAACACTCTTACAGTTGGTGGGAGTGTAAATTAGTTCAACCATTGTGGAAGACAGTGTGGCGATTTCTCAAGGATCTGGAAATAGAAATTCCATTCGACCTAGCAATCCCATTACTGGGTATATACCCAAAGAACTATAAATCATTCTACTATAAAGACACATGCACACGTATGTTCACTGCAGCCCTGTGTACAATAGCAAAGACCTGGAACCAACCCAAATGCCCATCAATGATAGACTGGACAAAGAAAATGTGGTACATATACACCATGGAATACTACGCAGCCATAAAAAACGATGAATTTGTGTCCTTGTAGGGACTTGGATGAATCTGGAAACCATCATTCTCAGCAAACTGACACAAGAACAGAAAGCCAAACACCATATATTCTCACTCATAGGTGAGTGTTGAACAACAAGAACACATGGACTCAGGGAGATGAGCATCACACACTGGGGGCAGTTGTAGGGGGTAGGGGAGAGACAGTGGGGGCTGGGTATGAAGGGGAGGGTGGGGAGGGATAACATGGGGAGAAATGCCAGATAGAATATGCACCTAAAGTAAAATAAATAATTTTTTTTAAAAAGGATGAGTTTATGTCCTTTGCAGGCACATGGATTAAAGCTGGAAACCATCATTCTCAGCAAACTGACACAAGAACAGAAAACCAAACACCACATGTTCTCACTCATAAATGGGTGTTGAACAATGAGAACACACAACACAGGGAGGGGAACATCACACACCAAGGCTTGTCGGGGTGTTGGGGGCCAGGAAAGATATAGCATTAGGGGAAATACCTAATGTACATTATGAGGTGATGGATGCAGCAAATCACCATGGCACATGTATACCCATATAACAAACCTGCACATTCTGCACATGTACCCCAGAAATTGAAGTATAATAAAAAAATAAAAATAATTACTGAAATTTTCCAAATTAGGTAAAAATCATAATTTACAGCTTCAAAAAGCTAAGCAAACATCAAGGAGAATAAAAACAAAGAAAGCTATGCCTTGGAACATCACAATCAAACTGAATGACTCACATGTTTTCTGCTAACCATTAAGCATGTATGTTTACATATCTTAGGCAACAGAGTTAAGCATCATTATTCATGACTGGAAGTTAAAACTTAATCAAAACCAGGGAGATGAATATAACTTCAACATTATACTTTTCATGAAGAACATACCTTTATAAATTATCAATATATATTAATCATCAGACGTTATATGCCTGTTAAAAAATTGGTTTAACATTTGTTTAAATAGGCTGTTGTAAGGCTAGATTAGGTGGGAAAGGCTTTTGTATCAGAGCATCTTGAGAAAAACAAAAGAGAAAAGGAGCAGGGAGAAGGGAGGAAGGTGGGAAATGGTTTTAGAGAATCAGCCAACTTAGGAAGAAGGCAAGGCTGATGGAAATAGCTCTTTCCCTGGAGACTGTGGCATAAGTGCTTCCCTCGAGGGTTCTTCTGAAGGAAGATAAAGAGCCCAACTCCTGTCCCCCACAGGCTGAATTTTATTACAGATCTCGTTTCTGTTCCTGAAGTCTCAGTCTGAGGCCAGTGAGTGAATTAGACTTTTATGGTTGGTTCCAGAAATAAGGTAAGAATTAGGTGGTGTTATATCATACAGGCTAGAGGTAAAAGAACTCTTTGAGACTTGAAATATGTGATATATATATACATACATATATATATATATATATATATATATATATATATATATATATATATACACACACACACACACACATATAGGCACAAAATAGACAAACAGACAGACAGATAGATATGCACAAGTCTTCGCTTATGTCAGAAGTGAAAGATGAGGACCTGGGAAGGGAGGGTGAGAGAATGTGAGCTAGATGGAGTTTACTGAAGAGCAGTAAAGAAAAGCAATCCAGTAACTAGTAGGCACCCTAATAGACTAGAGATGAGAAAACATGAAATATATTGATGTAGGCTGTAAACACCTCTTGGCATATGAAAGGAGCCCTAAAAATGGCAGGGAACTGTAGTCATCTGCCCTAGGCCACACATTGGAAGAAGCTTTTTGGAGGCAGCCAGGGAATCTTAGCAGGTGTGAAAAGTAACTAAGAGCCAATTATTTTCCCCAGAAAGAAAGAAGAGGATGTACTAAGAGTGTGAATTAGAATGGAAGAAAAAATATTATTCATCTCAAGATATATCTTAGCCAACAATTAAATATTTTAAGATACTCCTTCAATATCCTCAGAAACCTCATGAAGAGGGTGTTTTATCATTTGTCTCCATTTCTTCTTTCCAATGAAAATGGAATTAAATGTGGTTCTCTTCTCAGAAGGTACTCTCTGAAGCTATTCCACCTGGAACATTTAGTAAATCTATTTACTCACAAACCAGCCACTCTCTGAAACCATAAACCCATTGAGGACTCAGGCACATAGCATGATGTAGGGAAAAAAAATAGTTAATGCTCAAAATAGGCCTGCTGAAGGAATACACTAATGAGTGAGGAAGAGTATGCTAGGAAGTAAATGATGAAGTTACATGTTCATTTCTACCAACAGAAGAATTTACCAATTATCAAGAACTGCAACCTGTCCTCATGCCTCAGAAATAACTCTTTTTCTAGTTTCAGACATTTCTAAGCCTACTTCCCTGGCCTGTGAGCACAAGGAGTGCCTCATCTCAGATCATAAAGTACAGTTACCTCTTAAAGGTACCTTGACCGTCTTCATAAGGGAGCAAATTGTATGTGGTGAAGTCAGAGGTTTCCAATCTAATTTATTTCAATTGTTACTCTATGAAAAGTGACAGGTTATTCATATTATCTAAGACTCACTTTCCTTAAGTGTGAAATAGGGATAATATCCAGTTCTAAGAGTGGATATCTACTCCCTGCATTAAGAATATATAAAGTGCACTGTGCATACTACAGCCCCTGGCACAAAGTGATGCTTAATAAACATTAGCTTAATTATCCTGTGACTGTAATACATTAAGATTTTTTCCATTCAAAGAACCCCACTGGCCTCTTTAGGCCTCAGTGTCTTCAGTCAACCAATGCTCCAATAAACATCAACAGGTCATCTTTCTAAACTAATGGCTGCCCCTGTGGGAAGGATGGGGACTAAGGGTGAAGTTGTAATCAAGGCCCTTCACATTCAGGAAAAACCTGCCTTTGTTCTCCTCAGTACTCCTTATGCACCAGCCACCCTACCTGAAAATATTTCAGAAACATTGATCTGTATATCCACCTTTTCTTATGCTACTTCCTTTCTCTTTTCATTAACTTTATGATAAACTTCTCAATTTCAAGTTTAAGTATCACATTATTCAGCTTTCCCACACAGAAATAATAATTTCCTGTTTGTTCATAATCCCCATTTGCAATTAAGGTGCATACAATGTCTTATTCTGATTACTTGGACATATTGTCTGGCTGTCATTCATTAGAGTACAGACTACCTCCTTTCATACTTGCATGTTTGTTATTTACATGTTCAAAGAAGATGGAGATTATGGAATATGCCAAAAGCTCCTGGTGACATCGCAAAGAACATTGGAGATTTTATCTTCTACCTCTGTAAATAGGAGGTGAAGTTCTGAAAGTTCTCCCCAGCTATGCCTACTGTAAACTACAGTGGCACCAGCCACACAGTCTTCAGCTTGCTGGGCATCCCTGGCCTAGAGGACCAGCACATGTGGATTTCTGTGCCCTTCTTCATTGCCTATGTCACTGCCCTTCTTGGAAACAGCCTACTTATCTTCATTATCCTCACAAAGCGCAGCCTCCATGAACCCATGTACCTCTTTCTCTGCATGCTGGCTGGAGCAGACATTGTCCTCTCCACATCCACCATTCCTTGGGCCTTAGCTATCTTCTGGTTCCATGCTGGGGACATCTCCCTGGATTGTTGCATCACTCAGCTCTTCTTTGTCCATTCCACCTTCATCTCTGAGTCAGGGATCTTGCTGGTAATGGTATTTGACCGCTACATTGCCATATGCTACCCACTGAGGTATATCACCATTCTTACAAATGCTCTGATTAAGAAAATTGGTGTGACTGTCTTCCTGAGAAGTTATGGTACAATTTTCCCTATCATATTTCTTTTAAAAAGATTGACTTTCTGCCAGAATATTATTATTCCACGCACCTTTTGTGAACACATTGGCCTAGCCAAAAATGCTTGTAATGACATTCAAATAAACATTTGGTATAGGTTTTCCATCCTAATGTCAACAGTGGTCTTAGATGTTGTGCTAATTTTTATTTCCTATATGCTGATTCTCCATACTCTCTTTCACATGCCTTCTCCAGATGCTCGCCAAAAAGCTCTTAACACATGTGGCTCCCATGTCTGCATCATCATCCTCTTTTATGGGCCTGGCATCTTCACAATCCTCACCCAGAGGTTTGTACACCACATTCCACCTCATATCCACATCTTGGTGGCTAATGTCTGCATTCTGGCTCCACCTATGCTGAATCCTATTATTTATGGGATCAAGACCAAGCAAATTCAGGAAGAGGTAGTTCATTTTTTGTTTATAAAATAGAAATAACTTTAGTTTAAGAATTGAGTTTTCAGAATCTCTAACTATCTGGTAAATGGGTATGGAAGTGGTAGATGGGAGGGGTCAGCTGACACAGTAGGAAACAACTCAGTGAGTACCACGCCTGGCGCAAGGTCAACTGGGAAGATACAGGGCTTACTCTTCCACTTTTTAAACAACCTAGAAGCAATGCCACGTTTGACTGAACAAAGTACCTCCTGAACAGAGCCTGGAAGAGAATGGATTGGTTTTTCAGAAGTCATGTATCCTTAATGACAACATTATCATAATCTTTGGAAATAGAGGAAGTGAGAACAGTGCTCTGGCCTTGGAATTTGTTCAGCTATCTTGTACTGAGTTTCTCAAGCTCTGAGATATGTTGTATTCCTTTACGATCACATACAAACCTCCCTTCTTTTTTGTCCTTCATTCTAGCTAAGTGACATTCTTAGAATCAGTGACTCCTAGGTTTTCCATTTATTTCTATTATGTTATAGTTTATCTCCTATGAACATGAATGTCCATGATTAAGGATTGCAAATAAAATATGTGATCCATATTTTGCAGAACAACCCTTGAGGAACCTAAGCCTGATCATTCTTGTGTTGGGAAATGATATGTGGTTTCTGAAGGGGTGGTATGTGCTGAGGAAATGCTGAGGAAAGGAAACTCCTTCATTCTCAATGTCAAGCTGTGTTCTTCAATGATCTCATCCTCAGGAGGACATTCAAGATGTTTATTCACATGATTTCTGAGTGCTTTTACAACCATACTTCCCAATACCTTCTATGCAACCTGAGCGTTATATATACCTGGCCATTAATTCATCAGTTTTCTCATGTTATGCCAACTCTTTAGGTACTCTACATTCTCTTGAAATAACCTCCATCAACTTGTGGAAAACTCTTATTCCTCCTTTCATGTCTAATCTTCATGTCATCTCCTCTGTGACATTTACTCTAATCACAATTTGTTTCTCAGTGTATTATAGTTGATATTTCCTTTATGAGAAAAATAGCATATTGCTCATATTTTTAATACTTATTTTTATTAAAAATCTATGTTCCTTCTAGAAAGCATTAGAAATTGTGAAAAAACTTAAAATGGAGCTCATAAAACTATAATCTTAGAGGTCTCAAGCAATTTTACTGTTAAAATTTCTTATATATAGCTATACATCTTTGTTTATAAATTTACATATCTATATATCTGTATCTATATCTGTATCTGAATTTGTATTTATCTTGACCTATATCAATTCCTGTATCTATTTGCAAAATATTACAATAAATATGTAGAATGGCGACTATACTATATTTGTAGTCCATAACCTAATTTTTCCCTTTTATAAAACTTTTTTAAATTTTATTTTTAATTGAAAAACAAAATTATATTTATCAGGTACAACATGTTTTAAAATATGTATACATTGTGGAATGGGTAAATTGAACTAATTAACATACACTATCTCATTTGCTGTGGTGAGAAAACTTTGAATCTGCTCTCTTACCAATTTTCAAGAATGAGATACATCTCTTTTAACTATAGTCACCCTGGGATGTATCTCACTTGATCATGGTGAACAATCTTGTCAATATACTGTTGAAATCAGTTTGCTAGTATTTTACTGAGGATTCCTACACCTATGTTCTTCAGGGATATTGGCCTGCAGTATTTTTCTTTTGTTTTTGTGACCTTGTCTGGTTTTGGTGTCTGGGTATAGCTGACTTTGTAGAATTAGTTTGCAAGAATTCCCTCATCTTTAATTTTTTGGAATATTTTGTGAAGAACTGGTAGTAAATCTTCTGTAAATATTTGACAAATTAATCTGTGAGGTACTGTGCTTTTTTTCATGGGAGACCTTTTATTACTGATTCAATCTCCTTGCACATTATTGGTCTGTTCAGGTATCTATTTATTCATAATGCAATTTTGGTAGGTTCTATGTTTCCAGGAATTTATCTATTTCTTCTCTATTTTCCAATTATTTGGTGTGTAATTGTTCGTAGTAGTTTTATGATCCCCTATGATTTCTGCAATATCAGTTGTAATTTCTCCTTCTTCATCTATTTATTTGAGTCTTCTTTTTTCTTATCAGGTTGTCAATTTTGTTTATCTTTTCAACAAATCAACTCTTCTTTTTACGTAACTCTTCTCTTATCTTTTTGTTTGTTTGTTTTTATTGCATTTTAGGTTTTGGGGTACATGTGATGGACATGCAAGATTGTTGCATAGGTACACACATGGCAGTGTGCTTTGCTGCCTTCCTTCCCCTCACCTGTATCTGTCATTTCTTCCCATGCTATCTCTTCCCACCTCCCCAACCCCCCGCCCCTCCCCCATGTCCCCCCAACGGACCCCAGGGTGTAGTGCTCCCCTCCCTGTGTCCATGTGTTCTCATTGTTCAACACCCGCCTATGAGCGAGAATATACGGTGTTTGATTTTCTGCTCTTGTGTCAGTTTGCTGAGAATGATGGTTTCCAGGTTCATCCATGTCCCTACAAAGGACATGAACTCATCGTTTTTGATGGCTGCGTAATATTCCATGGTGTATATGTACCACATTTTCCCTATCCAGTCTATCATCGTTGGGCATTTGGGTTGGTTCCAGGTCTTTGCTATTGTAAACAGTGCTGCAATGAACATTCGTGTGCACATGTCCTTGTAGTAGAATGATTTATAATCCTTTGGATATATACCCAGTAATGGGATTGCTGGGTCAAATGGGATTTCTATTTTTAGGTCCTTGAGGAATCGCCACACTGTCTTCCACAATGGTTGAATTAATTTACATTCCCACCAACAGTGTAAAAGTGTTCCTATTTCTCCACATCCTCTCCAGCATCTGTCATCTCCAGATTTTTTAATGATCGCCATTCTAACTGGTGTGAGATGGTATCTCAATGTGGTTTTGATTTGCATTTCTCTGATGACCAGTGATGATGAGCATTTTTTTCATATGTTTGTTGGCCTCCTGTATGTCTTCTTTTGTAAAGTATCTGTTCATATCCTTCACCCATTTTTGAATGGGCTTGTTTGTTTTTTTCTTGTAGATCTGCTTTAGTTCTTTGTAAATTCTGGATATCAGCCCCTTGTCAGATGGGTAGACTGCAAAAATTTTTTCCCATTCTGTTGGTTGCTGATTCACTCTACTGACTGTTTCTTTTGCCGTGCAGAAGCTGTGGAGTTTGATTAGGTCCCATTTGTCTATTTTGGCTTTTGTTGCCATTGCTTTTGGCGTTTTGGTCATGAAGTCCTTGCCTACACCTATGTCCTGAATGGTTTTGCCTAGATTTTCTTCTAAGGTTTTTATGGTATTAGGTCTGATGTTTAAGTCTTTAATCCATCTGGAGTTAATTTTGGTGTAAGGTGTCAGGAAGGGGTCCTGTTTCTGCTTTCTGCACATGGCTTAGCCAGTTTTCCCAACACCATTTATTAAACAGGGAATCCTTTCCCCATTGCTTGTTTTTGTCAGGTTTGTCGAAGATCAGATGGTTGTGGGTATGTTGTATTTCCTCTGAGGCCTCTGTTCTGTTCCATTGGTCTATATCTCTGTTTTGGTACCAGTAGCATGCTGTTTTCATTACTGTAGCCTTGTAGTATAGTTTGAAGTCCGGTAGTGTGATGCCTCCTGCTTTGTTCTTTTTGCTTAGAATTGACTTGGCTATGCGGGCTCTCTTTTGGTTCCATATGAAGTTTAATGTGTTTTTTTCCAGTTCTGTGAAGAAGGTCATTGGTAGCTTGATGGGAATAGCGTTGAATCTGTAAATTACTTTGGGCAGTATGGCCATTTTCACGACGTTGATTCTTCCTAACCATGAACATGGAATGTTTCTCCATCTGTTTGTATCGTCTCTTATTTCGTTGAGCAATGGCTTGTAGTTCTCCTTGAAGAGGTCCTTTACGTTCCTTGTTAGTTGTATTCCTAGGTACTTTATTCTCTTTGTAGCAATTGTGAATGGCAGTTCGTTCTTGATTTGGCTCTCTTGAAGTCTATTACTGGTGTATAGGAATGCTTGTGATTTTTGCACGTTGGTTTTGTATCCTGAGACTTTGCTGAAGTTGTTTATCAGTTTCAGGAGACTTTGGGCTGAGATGATGGGGTCTTCCAGATATACAATCATGTCATCTGCAAATAGAGACAATTTGATTTCCTCCTTTCCAATTTGGATACCCTTTATTTCTTTTTCTTGCCTGATTGCTCTGGCTAGAACTTCCAGTACTATATTGAATAGGAGTGGTGAGAGAGGGCATCCTTGTCTAGTGCCAGATTTCAAAGGGAATGCTTCCAGTTTTTGCCCATTCAGTATGATATTGGCTGTTGGTTTGTCATAAATAGCTTTTATTGTTTTGAGATACGTTCCCTCAATACCTAGTTTATTGAGGGTTTTTAGCATAAAGGGTTGTAGAATTTTGTCAAAAGCCTTCTCTGCATCAATTGAGATAATCATGTGGTTTTTGTCTTTGGTTCTGTTTATGTGGTGAATTACGTTTATGGACTTGCGTATGTTGAACCAGCCTTGCATCCCCGGGATGAATCCTACTTGATCATGGTGGATGAGCTTTTTGATATGCTGTTGCAATCGGTTTGCCAGTATTTTATTGAAGATTTTTGCATCTATGTTCATCATGGATATTGGCCTGAAATTTTCTTTTCTTGAGTCTCTGCCGGGTTTTGGTATCAGGATGATGTTGGTCTCGTAAAATGATTTGGGAAGGATTCCCTCTTTTTGGATTGTCTGGAATAGTTTCAGAAGGAATGGTATCAGCTCCTCTTTGTATGTCTGGTAGAATTCAGCTGTGAACCCATCTGGACCTGGGCTTTTTTTGGGTGGTAGGCTCTTTATTGCTGCCTCGACTTCAGACCATGTTATTGGTCTATTCAGGGTTTCGGCTTCTTCCAGGTTTAGGCTTGGGAGGATGCAGGTGTCCAGGAATTTATCCATTTCTTCTAGGTTTACTAGTTTATGTGCATAGAGTTGTTTGTAATAATCTCTGATGATGGTTTGGATTTCTGTGGAATCTGTGGTGATATCCCCTTTATCGTTTTTTTATTGCATCAATTTGGTTATTCTCTCTTTTCTTTTT